TGTGCGTGCACGGGGACGCTCATTGACCATCCTCCTTCCCCACACCCAATAATATTTATCCCCCCTCCCCGCTTAATAATATTTAGGACCAGGCGTGTGGTGTGACGCAGGGCTGCTGGCGGCAAACCCCCACGCCTGTGGGGCACACAAGGAATTTTTCAATGTCCCTGAATGCCATTTTTTTGCAAAAAAAAAAAAACAAAACAAAACAAAACCCAACCAAAATCATTAATAATTTTCCCTCCGCCACCTCTTTTCTGAACAGTTGGGTGGTTTGTCCCTTTTGGGCCCAGAAATGGTGACAGCCCAGCTGCCCCCTCCCGGGACACCCCTCAGCTGCACCTTGTCCCCCTCTGGGTGTGGTGCCGGGGTAGGTGATTAACCTGATTAACCCCCTGATTTAGCAAGGGTGTGGGTGGGGGTTAGGAGGAGCTTGCTGAGAGGAGGAGGAAGCTGAGGAAGGTGGGTTTTGGGGCAGTGCGTGTGGAAGGTGGCCCTCCTGGCTGGGTGGACGGTGGGTTTTTGGTCACTGCTCCACCAGCAGCGCGGGGCAATGGACGTTTTGGAACGCGGGGCCTGTTTTTTTGCCGCGATAGGGAGCAGGAATCCCAGCGGCGCTGGCAGGAGCAGCTCGTGGGGCTCCCATCCTGCCTTTACACCCCAGGGCGTAGCCTAATTACTTTTGCTTACCTGATAGCTATTAAGTAATGTTGAGTTGGCTCCAGCAGCGTGTTAAATCACCTCCCCGAGCGCGCGCGTTGTGCCAACACCCCTGTGCTGCCGGGGCACCTGGCTGCTGCTCAGCATAGGGGCCCTGCTCGGCAAAATGTGAGTTTTGGGGGGCACCAAGCAGGGCTTGCTGGCTCTGGCGTGGGGGGGGGTGCCTGCCCCGCTCCATGCCCCGTCCCACTCGTGCCTGGTGATGGAGGCAGCCGGTCCAACCCTGCTGTGACACGTGCTGTGGCTGTGACTTGTGGGGGGGAACAAAGAGGGGCGGGTTTCTCGCCCCGAGGATGCTTTGGGATGCTGCTGTGCTGGTTTTCAGCCTGCGCTGGGTGGGTTTTTTTGAGGGGTGCTTGGCAGAGCGTGGGGCGCTCAGCAGGGCGCAGGGCATTCCGCGTGTTGCGTGAGGATGGGGGGCAAGCGCTGGGTGAAGGCAAAAAGCAGGAGGGGGGGGCTGGGGGGTGCAGCGCTGTGCCCCCTTCCTGTTGCTGCCCGGGTGAGCTTCTTCCCTGCCGAGGTTTTGCTCGTCTCCAGCACACGGTCCCGCTCTTCCCCCCCCCCCAGCTCTCCAAGCGCGTGTCCCAGGGGCGAGGGCTCGCTCCCCAATCCCTCGTGTCTCCCCTCGGAGCCGCTCGCTGAGATGGAAAGGGCTCGGCGGCTTTTTGTGCATGGGAAAAGTGGGGATGAATAGAGTGGAAGCAAAAAAAAAAAAAAAAAAAAAAAACACCCAAAACACAAGCCAAACAAACAAAAAAAACAAACACAAACCAAACAAACAGCAAATTAATAGAGCAGAAGGTAACGGGCAACGGGCTTTATTGTGGAGCGCAGCTGTGTCCTGAAAGGGGCCCCACGCCCGGGGATGCGGGTGGGTGCTGCTCCTCTCTGGGAAGCCCACGGGCCCTGGTGCTCCCACCCGGGGAAGAGGCAGTGGGTGGGCTCCCCGTCACGGGGAGGAAGGGATGAGCCGCGGGCTGGTGGGGAGAAGCCTTCAGAGCAAAGAATTTTGTAAAAAAAAAAAAAAAAAAAAAAAAGTCACTTTGTGAGAGCCCAAATGGCAGCCTAGGCAAAGGGTCGGGTTTGTCTTGAGCGTTGGCAGTGAGGCTCCTGCATCCCCAGGTCTGTAACTTCCCGCAAACACCCACCTGCCTCCAGCCCCCCTGCGTGGAAACAACTAATTTTGTATGGGAAGAGGCAAATGGTCAAACTTTGTTGAAAAGTCTGTTTTGCAGGTGATGGGGGTGAAATCCCCAGCGCTGCGTGTGACCATGGGAACTATCACTAATGAGGCTGCTGGGGCGGGAGGGGGGGGTCTGGCCATCTCCACTGTGTTTTCCCCAGGAGCTGATAAAGGATGCGTTTGGTTTTAGTAAAGGTTTAATTCCAGTTTAGTGAAAGGGTTGCGGAGCCACGGACGCGGAGATGTAAACAATCCCCCCGCTGCCCGTTAATGCTGGGGGGGATTTGCCAGGGCCAGATCCCGCGCGGGGATGAGGTTGGAGGATTTGGGCTTTATTTAGCAAATCCCTCTCCGCGCTGCACCCCACGTTCCTCGCCCGGCCCGGGGGGCACCGGGGGCCGAGCCGAGCTCCTCCGCTCCCGTGGTGCCTGTCACATGTACCTAAAGCATGACTCTGCTCGGATATGAGTAATGCACTCCAGTGACTCATTTTATGCCTTTTTTTTTTTTTTTTTTTTTTTAAGGCAGTTGACTTTATTGATGTTTACTTGCAGCCTCCTAATGCGTATCCTTCAGGAGGTGCCTGAGGTTTCCAGCGCTTTTGCTGAGGAGTGGCTGCGTGTCCTCTAGCGTGGTTGGAAATCTCTAAATCCCAATTTTTACCTTGAAATGAGAGGGGCTTGCAGGCACGCCGCCCTCCCCGGAGAGGCGGGTGTGCTCCAGCAACGGCCCGCCTCCCCCCTCTGCATCCCACCTTTGGGAAGGGCCCGTGCAGGGAGCGGCTTTGTGGTTAATGCGGGGTTAGTTTTGCCCTCAGGAAGATGAATTTTGGTCATGCCGCGCGGCCGGAATTCTTTCCGAAGGTTGAGACCTCCCGCAGGGCCGACCAAAGTTGGAGCCGCCGGTGCAATGCGGAGGGTGCCGTAACTCAGCACTAAAATAGTGGAATTTGGTGAAGATAACTTATTTTACCCATTGCCCGGCTTGGGAGGGGGTTTGCAGGGGAAGTTGCAGCCCTTCTCCCTTTTTTGTGGAACACAAACCTTCCCGAGGAGCATCCCAAGAGCCGGGGGCTGCTGGGCCTGTCCCGCCTGGATGAGGGGTGGCTCCAGCAGCGCAACAGCTTTCCGAATTTTGGAGGGGAAATGTTATTTATTTTGGAGGAGAGGTGTTATTTTTTGGTGTGCCCGGGAGGGATTTGGACGCAGCGGGTGCGTGCCCGTCACCGGGGCGTCCTGCCGTACGTGGTTCCTCGGGGTGTTTTGGGGGCAGCGGGGGGAAGGGGAAGGGTCGGCGCGCTGAGCTCGCCCCAGGGATTACAAACGGATTTCCCGAAGGCGCTGGCAGCGCAGGCGGCCGCGGCAGGTCGCAGGAGCTCTTTGTGGGGATTAAACAAACCATCTGTTAAATAAATCCCGGGTGCGAGGTGGTGTTTCTCGCCTCTGGGACGGGCGAGGGCTGCGGCCGGGGATGCTTTTGGGGCTGGGGACACTCGATGCTGGAGACTCTGTGGTGGTGTTGAAGCTCATTTTCCCCTCTGGTGTATCCAAACCCTCAGAGGTGCTTGGATTTGGGATTTTTTTTTTTTTTTTTTTTTTTTAATGGGAAAAATGGGGCAGTTTAATTGGGGAATATATATATATTTAATTTTTAAATTATATATTTTATATAATATCTATTTACAAAATGTTTAATATATAATAATAGAAAAAAATATATATATTTAGAAAATATATAACTCTTTTTTAACGGGAAAAGTTCTGCAGGTATTGCTCTCCCTGCTCTTGAGCAAGGTGAAGTCCTTAGAAATGTGTGTGACTGCCTGGGATGGTCCTAGAGATGATGATGCAGGGTGGGAGGTGGAAGTTAAATTTCCCTGGCAGATGGAAGGGCACCCTGAAAAACCATTTTTTACGGGCCGGTTGTGCTTAAAATGTCACTGTTGTGCCTGGGGCAGCTCCTCCGGGCGTGCGGGATGGTGCTCGAGGTCCTCATCCCCGTTTTTGCTGGGCTGCAACGGAGACCCACGTGCACCCCCAGCTTGGGGTGTCCTCTGCCCCTGGGGACGGGGCTGTCCCTTGGGTGCTGTTTGAGATGAGCACGCCGGGGATGGGGACTGCTTCAGTGCAGCTATAAGGGGTTTTTAAAGCATCTTTCCTGCCAGGAAAAAAAAAAAAAAAAAAAAAAAAGGAAAAAAAAAACCAACACCAAAAAACCAAACCAAAACAAAAAAACCCCCAAAACTAAACTTTTGGAGCTGGTTATAAACCAATTTTTGCCAGAACCAGTTTTGTATCTCGCCTGTTTACTGGGGTAATCCTAGTAGTGTCCTGTGCAACTCCTACGCTGGTGTTGCCCGTTACCTCCAGCCAAATTCCACCACCCCCCCCCGCACCCTTGTAGCACCTCTGCAAAACGGTTTTGAAGCCGGGGAGGGTGGCACACCCCGTCGGGGGGGTGGGCTGGGTGCTGTGGCTGGCGGAGAGAAATTGGGGGGGGGGGGGGGGGGGCACGTGGCAGTTTGCTGGGACGAGGCTGTAGCATCTGGCTCAGGCGGCATCTCGTAGGGCAGCGGTGCTGGGGGGGGGGGGGGTCCCAGGCAGAGGCTGGGGGGCTCTTGCAGCTCCCCCCCCCCCCCCCCCCAGCCTCTTTTGTTCCCCGCTTTGGCTGCTCTTCACGCAAAATTAATTCCCAGGCGCTCTCGGCAGGCGAAATTTCTCCCGCATCATCCTTTCGGGGCTAATTGCTGGTGATGTGACGTCAGCCCGATGGATTTCTCTCTTGAATGGCTGCAGGAGAGGCGAGGAGGGCCCAGCGCTGCCGGTGCGAGCTCTGCTGCCATATCCAGGCTGGATTTATTTATTTCTTTATAATTTTTTTTTTTTTTTGCCCCCCCCCACCCCCTTCCCAACCGGTCTCCCCGCACGCTCCTTAATCTGACAGCGCCCGGTAATTAATCTGGCTCGCCCAGCCGCTGCAATAGGATTAGAGGGAGGGGAAGTGCGTCACGAGGTACGAAGAGGGGTTATGGTTTTGGTGAAAGTGTGTGTGTGGGGAGGGGGGGGGAAATATGGGAAATAGGTTGGTGTGTTCCCAGGGGGGGGTGTGTCGGGAGCAAGCGCGCATGTGAGGAGGTGTGGGGCGGGAGGGACCGGCTGCGCCGGAGCCGAGCCCGGCTCGTCCTCCCTTTCTCTCAGCATCCTCCCGTGATCCTGGAGGTGATACAGGCACAGCAGCATCCATGGCCTGCCGTTAGCCTCGGCGCTTATTTTCTATTTTTTTTTTTTTTTTTTTTTTTTTTTTTTTCCTGTTGTTGTTGTCTCCTTGTTATCCTGGCAGCTAAGCGAGCCGGGGATCGGAGGCGTTTGATTGAAGGGCTTACATTAAGCATCTGGTAACTGGGATCGTATTCTCCTGTATTTTTTCAGGCTCCTCGGAAATTGAGGAATGCAATTCTGCCACCATGATGGAAGGTAGGTGATGATCCGAGCACGTCTTTCGGAATCGCTAGAGTTTTAAAAGCGACGGTGGAGGAGGGAGGATGCACTGAACCTGCGCGCGTGAATCCTTTTCCATTTTATTTATTTATGTATTTTTTTTTTAAATAAAAATAAAATAAAACCCTCCCCCCTCCCCCTAATCCCAATCAAACCGGAGCACCCTGCCAGCGAGCTGGCGGATGGTGATAGCATATCAAGCCCATCGGGTTATTTGCAATTCCATCCCCAGGCCTGTGCAGGCAGTTCGGGGTATGCAAACGCCCGGTTCCCCGGCAGCCTGGGCAGGCAGGGGGAGCCCAAACCGGGGGGGTCGGCTGGAATTCAGGTCCTTTAAACCATTATTTTATCCTCGGCTTGGAAACCCACTTTCTCAGCCCATCATAATGCACAGAAGATGAATTTAAGTGTTATCTGCACGCAGAGACCGGGGGCTGCGGAGCCTGTCAATAATAACTGGGATTCTGTGGTTTTTACAGTGTAGCTGCATGGATGAGCATCTTTTCAGTAGGAAATGAGGATATCTGAACTTCGGGTAATTTTTGCCATGTAGTGTCCCTGGTTTGGAGGTGCAGGCTCTGGGGGAGATGGGGGGGAGGATGTTGGATCGAGGTTTATTGGAATAAAAAAAAAAAAAAAGGAAATGAGAATGAAATATGGGCTCCAGGCACAAGATACCTCAGGGAGCGTTGTGAGATTGTGCGTCTGATCATGTGTGGGAAAAGCCCCCGGGCATTAAGGAAATTTAAACCTGTGTCGTTTGTCTCGGCTGTATGTAAAGCTCGCCTTTTTTTTTTTTTTTTTTTAAATGCCTTCTGGAGTAAGGTGCAGGGAAAGGCAGACGCTTTATTTATTTTTTTTTAGCAGGATAGATTGCTCGGGGCCAAGAAGATCTGCATTTTTTTTTTTTTTTTTTTTTTTTTTTCCTATCCCACGGCCCGTTGGCCGTGGCAGGAGGGCCTGCCTCGGCGCGGGCTGTGCGGGGCCGCATCCGGCGCGGGACTCGCGGCGCTGCCGCCGTGCCAGCCAGGCACCCGCCTGGCCCTCCCCGGGATGACAGGCAGAATTTGGGCTGCCTCTCCCTGCATCCCTGCGCACCCCGGGCTGCGACCCCGGCCGAATTAACCTGGGAAGGCACCGGGCCCTGTGTAACCCAGACTTCTTGTGTTGACTTAAAATATTTGCCGAACCGTGGAAATTCAAGTGGTAGAGTGGCCATGTGTGAACACGCAGGAATTGCTTTTTTGCCTTTTTTTTTTTTTTTTGATTTCTTGGTGTTAAGAGAATGAGTGTTGTCGTCCTTCGATACAAGGCAATGCCTTCAGTGTCTTCTCTAATACTGGTGATCGTTGCAAGCAAAAGAGATTTTAATTTTAGACCATGACATCAAACTCATAGCACCATGCTGACATACATGACACACTGGCAACCAGGCACACGGCCTGTGCATGTCCAGGTAATTTTAGAGAAGATGTCATGAACAACGTGGTTTCTTTCAAAAGTACCTATGTCTGGGGAGGAATTCATGTAGATAAATTGAAGTTGGCCTGCTGTAATTCTTGGTTGGTGTTATTTAACTAGTTTTGAGGCTGGCTGGGGTGAAAGCAGTTGGGTTGGGGTTTTGGGGTTTTTTGACTTTTTTTTGTTTGTTTTTCTTGAGGATTTTTGCCTCGTTGGTAAAATGCCCACGGTGTGCTGCTGTGTGGGAGCCTTGGCTGCCATGGCCAAGGCAAGCGGGTGCAGGCAAGAAGCTGGCTGGAGAGGTTGGCCAGGGCTGGGGCAGCTGGCTCGTTGGGCTCTGGCAGAGGTGGAATCGTCTTTCGTGAGCCAGTCTTGCATTTAATAATAATAATAATAAAAAAAAAAAAAAAAAATTTGAGGGGGAAAAAAAAAAGCCATAAAAAGTTTCCCCTTTATCTGTGACTTATTAAACTGCTTAACATGTTGCTCCCCTACTCGCTAGTGTGTATGGGAACCTTGAATGGAAGAAATAATTATCGCTTTGGATGAATTTTTAAACAGCTGGAGACTGGCTCTATCTGTGGAAGAGTGAAACTCTTGTGACCAATGTCTTACTGAAACACTGACACCTTGCAGAGATGCTTTATTTAACACGGGAATGCTTTGAATGTGCTTAGCTTAGTTTGATCCGAAATTTTTAAGCCTGCACAAACAAAACCATGGTTCCTCGCAGTAAACACGCGGAAGGGTTTTTATTATTCCTGTTATTACGACTATTTAAATCGCTTGTCTCGCCAAAGCGTCGGGCGCTGTGCTGGGAGCCGAGGGTGGAGCGCGGGGAGGAGCTGGGCTGCCGGCAGAGCACGGGGCCAGCGGGATGGACCCGGTTTGGTCGATGGTTTTGGCTCCTCCTCTTGGGAAACAAGAGTATTTGACTCCTCGGGAACGATGCAGGATGTGCAATTTGGACCAGTCTGTTCCGAACCCAGTACGGGATATTTTCTCACTCCCCTGGGAGGCGGGGAGGGAAAAGTGCGTGTTTTTCACCGTATGCTTAAAAATCGCATTGATATCTAAAAAAATTAAGTGTGGGCAGTGGTCTCAAGAAAGCAGTCCTTACTGGGAGGGGAGCTGGGTGTGTGTCTGGAGCACCACAAGCGGATGGTTCCCCCGCCTCCATCACGCGGTGGGGTGCAGCGGGCGCCCGCCTTGCCCTCGCCACCCGTGTTGGGGGTGGTTTTGCTGTGCTCGGCCTCGCTCGAGCAGGTGGAAAGTGGGTGCTGAGGACAGAGACTAAACCCCCTTCCATCTCCGAGCTGACAAAAATAACCTGAGGCAAAACCCTGTTGCGTGTCAGCACTAGATCAGAGACCCAAACCGCTGCTGGAAAGGTCCCACCTCGTGCTGGAAAGGTCTCTGCCTGTGTGGCTGTAGATATGAGAGGTATTCAGACGTTCCCTTTGATTGTAAAACAAATCACCAGTACTCAGAAATGCTCTGGGCACGTCATTAAGGTAAACATCGGTGCACGAGAACAAGTTTGTCTCCTTTTTCTTTTTTTTTTTTTTTAATCCATCCGTTGCATCTCCAATGTACGGAAGGTATTTTATACAGCTTAATGAAGTTTTGAAATGACTCCTGCAACGTGTCACTCCAACCAGAAGCTCTGTGATGGTCAGAAAAATTAGACAGCATGTGGCTAAATAGGAGCAGCCACGCTGGAGAAGGTCGTTCCCTCTTCCATGGGAGATGGTACCTGCCTTTCTCCAGAGCCCGAACCAGACGTTTGCTGGGGAGAAGCTTCCTCAGAGTAGAAATTTCTCTGTAATTCTCTTCTCCGGGCTTTTTTTTGTACTTGTTTCTGGGGAGTTTGGTCACTCTGGGAATTTCCACGGATGACTGGTTCACATCCAAACTGGCCAAAACTTTCTTGCCTCGTCTTTTAGCAATGGTTGTCTCCACGCCTTGTGTTTTCATCGTGCTGAACGGGTAGTACTGGGACCAGAGGCTCCTAATGGCACTTGAAAAAGCCTTTTTCTTGATTAGGCAAGAAAATTGCCTTTATTATACTTTAGGTGATCTCGTTTCAGTAAATGGTGTATTTAAATGTGTTTAGTGTTTCCCACGTGATTTGGCAAGGAAATGACCCGGTAGAAATATTTGAGTTATTCTTTGTGAAAGCCAATAGTAGGTTTGGGGCTCTTGACATAAATTGTGGCATGGATGAATAGAAACATCCCAGAAACTACACGAGGACCACGACGCTAAATTAGGACCTGTATTTTCCAATATGTTGTTTGAGCAGTAACCCCTGACTGAGCTTGGGCTTGCAAAGAAGCTCAAGGCTTTGCCTTGCAGGAGCGTCTCCAGCCATGTCCTCAGAGATCCAAGGGGGATTTTTTTCAGATCTGCTGGAACCTGCTGCCTAACTGCCAGGCCCGACACTGGTGAGGGAATTATTTTTTTGATGAATGCAAGAGAAGATGGTTTTGACCCTTCTGCCCTGCCTGCACAGCACGGGGCGATGCTGTGCCGGAGCCAGCGGCTCAGCTCCCCTCGTAGCCCAGGCTGGGGACAGGCCTGGGGACAATTCACCGCTTCTCAAATGCAAAGACGTGCGTAAAGCCTTTTGGGATGTGTTTGGAGGGGTGGTCCTGCCTGGGGAGACTGAGGTTTTGAGCTGCCGAGGATGAGGCATGGGAACGTGGGGGGCTTGGGAGGGGAAGCGTTTGCGACAGGAGCAGCAAGGAGCTCTTTAGCTCTTGGTTTGGTGGGGTCAAAAGCGGGGGAAGAGGTCGGTGTGTCCAGCCCAGAGCTGCTCAGCGGACAGTGACGTGCTCCCACGCTCCAGCCATGCCTCACGCGCTCCGGGTTAGAGCTGGGCTGGCCAAACTGGACCCGAAGACCATCCCCATCGAAGTGGATTGAATGTGTTCAGCTGAACAGGTTGCAGTAACAACCTCCAGTCTAGAAAGGTAAAAAAAAAAAAAAAAACCAAACCAAAAAACAAACAAAAAAAAAAAAACAAAAACAAAACACAACCAACCAAACAAAAAGAAACCAACAAAAAACACCCCCCACCCTTTTGCAGGCATTCAACCCCTTCCCACTGAGATGTTTTGGGTTTTTCCAGCTCCAGTCCATTGGCAGTATGTCCCTCCACCCTAAGGAAGGGATAAATGGCTCTAGCTCAAAACCAACAACCACTAAAAAAAAAGGCCCCACCTAAACCCTGGGAATTTGGGAAATGCGTTGGATTTGGGCTGGTGCTATTTGCCAGTTAAAACCCATACGGTGCTGGCATTGAGGATTTATAAACCAAAATAGGAGCGAGGCAGCAAAACCTGACGTTTGCCTCGCACCTGAAATGATCAATGGGATGTAGCGGCTGAAGCGACACTCAGACAGGGTTTGTGGGTTTTTGGGGGTAGAAAGGAGAGACAATATGGCAAAACTCAACTGCGTGTGATGTGGGTCTGCAAAATGCCTCCTTGGAGGGAGCCCCAGTTTAAAGT